TCAGAGTGATATTTCGGAATACAAAGTAGAAGTAACACCTAGATGCATATCAAAGCCAAAATTAATAAAAATACCAAGCTGTACTAAACAGTGTAGAAGTATAGGTGTGCAAGCTGTCTTACCAGACACTAAAACTAGAATGTCAAACAAAACCAACAAAGGCATAGCAGCTACAAAAAGGGCTATGATAAGCAGGCTTAGAAAAAAGATTTCCACAGACAATTTACCAAATTCTTTTCTCAGTATGCTACAAAAACACTTAGGAAGAAAATGCCAGTACACTCCCCGGGAAAGAAATATGATAATTGCTCTTTATTACAAATCTCCATCTGCCTACCAATTTATGAGAACGACGTTAAAAGTTCGAGGATTGCCATCACGACAAACTATTATTAGATGGTTATCTAATATTGATATAAGACCTGGTTTGAATGAAAATTTCTTTGCACTGCTGAAATCTAGGGTAAAGGACATGCCTGAGTCAGAAAAAGACGTCGTACTGTTAATGGACGAAATTAATTTAAAAAAAGGTCTTGAGTATGACAGAAAATCGGACTGCGTCCTAGGATTTCAAAACCATGGACAATTTCCCGAGCCAAAGCCAGCAAACCACGCTCTTTTACTCATGGTAAGAGGGTTAAAGAAGAGCTGGAAACTTCCGATTGCTCATTTTTTCTCCTGTGGTCCGACTAAAAGCGAGGCTATAGCTAGTATTTTGAAGAATACAGTTTCAAAAACACTAGCTACGGGGCTTCGGGTACGGGCAATTGTGTGTGATCAGGGAGCACCAAATAGAAAAGCGTTATCTCTTCTAAAAGTCACAACAGACGACCCTAAATTAATAATTGATGGACAACAGATTTATGCCGTTTATGACGCTCCACACCTCATCAAAAGCTTTAGAAACCGATTAATGGAAGCCAAAGCAATTAAGTTTAAAGACGGCATCGCTGAATGGAAGCACATACAGCAACTATTTACACTTGACCAAAGACAGGAAAACGACATAGTCAAAGCACGCCTTAACGTAAAGTTGAGCGAAAAACACGTCAATCCAACCTCAAGAGAAAAAATGAACGTGAGACTGGCTGTTCAGGTTTTCAGCCATACGACACAAGCGTCGTTATTAACGGCAGCTCAAATGCCCGAATTCGGCGGTGCGGCTGAACAGACAGCTCGATTTATTGGGACCATCAACGACACATTTGACGCGTTAAATAGTAAAACTTTATTTAGTGGAAATAAATTAAGCTGTGCACTAAACATGAGGGATGACACCACAGAAAAATTCCTTTGTGGTATTAGATCATGGTGCGATCAACTAAGAGTGATAACCAAGAACGATAAACAAAAGATTGTGCCATGTTTCTTGGGTTTGAAAATGACCATCACCAGCATACTCCAGCTATGGGATGATCTGAAAAAAGAAAATACCTCATTCCTACTAACGGCTCGATTGAACCAAGATCCTCTCGAGAACGAGTTCTCCATCATCCGTCAGCGAGGTGGTTGGAACCTGGACCCGACTCCAGCTCAGTTTTCAAGGTAATATATTTGTTCTATTTTTTATACTAAACAAATTTCACCACACAAAATAAAATTTTGAAAATTAAATAAAAAATAAATGCAGGTGTGAACAAACATAAATAAAATATTTATCATCACCAGTACACATTATATTATTACAAAAAATGTCACGCAAATAATTTAAGTGAAAAATATTGCATTTGGTTTATTTAATAGAGATATTTTGTTTATTCACTTTAACGGGATTATAATAATTTAAGCTTAATATTTCCACATAACATTTTTTTAAGTATAGCTTATAATTTTAACTGAGCCTATATTATAATGACTAAAACCACAATAAATATTGCAAATTCTTCAAGAACTTTTGAGAAAACTATTTTTAATTTTAAAGCAACAGGTATGATGCCATTCGGCTATAACATTATTTGGTAATTGCGCACGGGTGAACGAAAGTATTTGATCAGTTTGTACTAATTTATATTATATATATATATACTCATGTATACTTTTACTAATTTGTTGCTTGTTTATGAACGTTTTTTGATCGAATTTGGAAAATACATTAATTTCTTACTAAACAATTGCTAACATTTTGCAACAAACAAACAAAAAACACTTTTGTGTCCCACAATACTCTTTATAGCCACTGTGAATTTCAACCCGCTCTTAATTCGTGATTGAGCCCCAAACAAATTAACATACAAACTATATGCTTTCTAATATTATAATGATTAGTTAGTTTTTCATTCTGTTATTATGGACATTGATAAACATTTCTCTCGCATTGTTCAACAAAAGTCTATGCAGAAGCTCAGAATTACATTGATTTACATATTATATAAAAGACAACACTTTAACAATTTGTGAGTTATTTTTCAAGTTAGATTACTAGAAATGTTATTGTTCTAAGGGCACTGAGATCCCGTGTTGCCACGAGCCTCTTGCGACCGGCTGAATCAGCTAATTGTGAACCAGACGAGGACGAGCTGCTGACATTGACGACACCACTAGCACCACTGACCAACGCCACCACCGACCCTGCACCTGGACCTTCACTCTCACTCTCACCCTCATGTGACAACCCCTCTGACGAGGACAGTGACCTCGAGCCCATCGCACCAGACGACCAACAACAATCATCACTTCAAGGTGCAAGTGCTTCGGTTGAAGAAGACTCGTTGATCAGGGCAAACGCGGTAACTTACTTAAGCGGAGTTATTTTATATCACTTAGAAAAGAAATACTCCTGTCTTAAATGTTCCGAGTCGTGTTCAAAACAAAATAAATTCCTGGAAAATAACGATGAGTTATTTGTACACTTCAAAGCGTACAGCACCAAAATACCCTCAGATTTTGGAAACTTAAAAGTGCCGTCTAGTGAGTTTCGCAATGTGATGGACATCTGCATGAGTGCCTTTGAAAGAAATGTAAATAGTTTAATTACAAGCATTGGCGTCAAGAAAATTTTAGTTTCTGTTTGCATAAATGAAGTTAACGAAGTCTTTCCTGGGTGGCTTGAAAAATGCTACATCCACCGAACATTTTGCATTGACAAACTCGTGTTCATCAAATTAAGGTACGAAATTAAAAGACGTTCGTGTGTGTTATCTCTTCCAATTGCGCGTAAGAAACAAAGATCATCAAAGGATGTACAAAAATGTGTCAGGAGAAAATTGTTTTACTAGATAGTTGTTAAGTTGTTACCGGTACACCTTTTAGGCATGACTTTTGCAATACCAGTGGATTATTTCGTACACTTATTTTTAAATCATGTGTATTGTATAATCAATGGACCTCAAACGATTTTAATTAGGAAGGTCTAAAACTATGTAATTTATATTTATTTAACTTCAAACTTAAGAGTGTGAATTCCTACAGTATAACAAGTCTTAATACATTGTACAAAGTTAGTTTTGATTTTGCAAACCAGTAAAACACTATCATATTTTTATGTTCAAGTCGGTTTTAAACGTTTTGCGTATAGGGCTGTTGATTTTTGTACACTATTACGTACATCCGGGTTTTAATCTTTCTTTACTGATAAATCTGTTGTTACTTTAAATAGTATTTAAATAATAATGGTTGGCTATTAATAAAAGCCACTTAATGTTTATATACTTAATTATCTTGCAAATGTGTATTTTAATATTATGTAAATTTGATGTAGGAATGTATAAAACGTTTATTATTTATTTGACTTCAAACTTAGCGTGTGTTTTGTTTACGTTGTTTTACGTGAGTAAGTTGTTTAACGAAGATTTTGTATATAACTGTAAATAATTTTATTGCATAACCAACTTCAATGTAAATACGTATTATAAGCAAGATAGTTCATTATTTTTAACTCTTTAGAATATCATTCAAGTGTGTAATGTACTTTTAAACTTGTTTTTCTTTCTACGATAACATTTTGTAAAAATGCATGTATCCATAGTTGAATAGGCTATATTTTAAAAATTTACCAATTAACACATATTACATTTAATAGCGAAAACACAGCAAAGATAAAAATTTCCCGGCCCTAATTAAAACATTCAATTTACATTTTGAATTATTTTAATCATACAACTACCGTATAGTTCTCCGTATATATGTCCATATGGTAATTACTTACTTATTAAAGGTCACTGTCTGCATCAAATCATTAAGTATTTATTTATACCTTTCAGCTATTTTAACATTGCACCTATACTTCTCTGTGATTACACATAATGTTACTGCCCTAGTGTACACTGTGGGAAACGGAGCAGTTCTAACAATTAGCTTTACGAGAACACGTTTATAAATATTTATTTCATATTTGGTATCTTTGGAAAGCTTATTTCATTCTGCATTTAACGGAATAGGTTTCAAATAAAGGTCTTGATAATTATTGGAACGACAGTTGAAACCGTAAACTGTACTTTGTTCAGCGGCTGGCAGCGGAGTAGTGAGCGTAGCGCAGCGCTGTCGCGACCTGTCGTGTACTCTGTGAACTACGTCAAGTCGGGACACGCTCGCTACTTGGGGACACGGATTACGCGCAACACAGATATTAACTCTGTTTATATTACTTCTCTGTGGTTTTAGCCATATTAATGTCTAATGTTTCGTGTACGTGTAAGTGTTATTTTTGAACGTTTAACTTCATGACCACCATTCCATGGAATAAATCAATGTAACATTTGACCTAAAGATGTGTTTTAACAACATGAAACAGCTGTAGTCAACTAACTACTATCTAAGATCTCTTGACGGATACAGGTAATTTAAACCTTTTTTTGTATGCAGGAAAAAATCTGCTGAAAGCTACTAAACTTTTGCTGTTAGCAGCGCTGGTTGGAGGGTTTGATTCCTACCTTGATCAGGTCTGGTGTGCAACTAATGAGAATTCCACCCGTCTGGACCTTGGTGGGGGTGGCCCAACATTGAGAAGAATGAAACATCTATATTGTGTTGTGACCCAAGACTTTGCTGAATCTTGGACTAACCTGATATTTGCCGCTCTGCTCCTCGCGGGCGGTGGACAGGTTGAGCATCTTGCTCCACACTTGGCCGCGCAGCTTGTCAGGAACGCCTTTGAACACACGTTTGCGCAACTTGTCTCTGGTAGCGCTCGTGTTCCAGTTGTGCAACATTTTGAGCCATTTCTTGACTCGTTCCACTTCCACTCGCGATTCCGCTGGGTTCTGCTTCTCCAGATCATTTTGGTCCCTAATAACATAGCAAACACACACATAGGTACACAATAGGTATAACATAGGTACACTTTACAACTTTAAAAACATAAATAGCGTTTTTATATGAGGCAGGGATAAACATAGGTGATTGGAAAATGACAGTGATATACAGGGTGTCCCGGAACTCTCTACCAATATTTTAGGGCATTGATCCTGGGTAAGAAACTGTAGTATATTTAATGATTTTATGTATTCAATATTATATTTGTAAAACAGCGTTTCTTGTAGGAATCCAGATTTGTATAAAATGTAAATGTGTGTTAGTGTGTGTGTACATCACGCCACGTCTGTGACGTCAGATCAGGTGATTTTTAATAAATTCCCATTGGCTGCCGCGACCACGCTATACCCGTGGATCTAACCACTACGTCAGTCCGTCCTAGTCCTGCAACCGTACACCTTTATCCCGGTCCGTGCAGCCCGTGGTATTATCTAATTATGTAGTTTTTATTTCTCACTAGTCCCGTCTTCTGTCAAGTTAAGACGTCGTCACACCGGCGACGTCACACTGGCGACGAGGAAGTTACAGTGATAACGATGGCGTTATTAAGAACCTAATTATTCGTGTGTGCGGTGTAACTGTTCGACCGTATTTTTATAAGTATTAGGGTTAATGTCCGATTACGACAACCCAGTGTTAATTTTATCTCGTGTCTTCTTTGAACAAGATACAATGTCTGGAATCATCGGCGGAATCGGAGACTTTGACGGGAGTGAAGAATCTTGGACCTCGTACGTTGAAAAGTTTGAGTTATTTGTCGAGTGTAACGGGAATAGTGATGCCAAAAATGTGAGTACTTTTTGAAGTAGGTTCCACCTCAGCCAAACAAGCAATTGTACATTTAAGAGATTTGTTTGCTAGATTTGGTTTGCCAGTAACTTGTCACAGTAACAATGGTCCACCATTCACATCACTTGAGTTTAAACAGTTCCTAAAGTCAAATGGAGTAATACAAACATTCTCACCTCCCTATCATGCCCAATCAAACGGCCAAGCCGAGAACTCAGTAAGATATGCTAAAACTAAGCTTAAATGTGCACTAAATGACAACACTGATTTTAATGTTGCTCTAAGTCGTATATTGTTTGACTATAGAAACTCCGTGCATGCTGTTACCAATGAATCTCCAGCTATGCTGATGTTTAAACGTCCCCTAAGGACCAGGTTAGATTTGCTAAAACCTAACTTACCAAGTCATGTTGAGTGTAAACAAAACAAACAAAGAGAGTATTTTGGTGGCAGTAAAACCAGAGTTTTGTACCCAAATCAGTCTGTATTAATTAGAGACTACCGCTCAAAAGATAAATGGGTAGAAGGTACTGTACATAAAAGATTGAGTAATGTTTTGTATGAAGTTAGACTAAGTTCAGGTGTTGTTTGGAAGAGACATATTGATCAATTGGTAGGTTTTCAGGGAAGTAGTAACAATGACAGGAATGCGCATTCTGAAACCGTATGTGAGCCGGCAGTAGTACCATCAGCTGATCCCCCCAAAACTCCGTTACAGCAATCCCACTCCCAATCTAAAAATAGACACAGTATAACCAACCGATCACCTGATCGTAGTACTCCTGCTACACGTCATACTTCCTTCCCCTCCTCACCTAGCACTCCCATGGTCCGTTCTCCACAACAATCGCCCATTGTACATCCCCAAACACCAGTTACTACAACAGCACGTAGATATCCCAGTAGAATAATAAAACCAGTCGAACGCCTTGATTTGTAAAAATTGTATGTGTGATTTTTAAAGTTTATTTTTGAAATTAATAGTTTTGTTTTACTTGTTTTAAACTTTTATATTTGCTGAGATGTGTATAAAAATTACACGGGAGGGATGTAGTATATTTAATGATTTTATGTATTCAATATTATATTTGTAAAACAGCGTTTCTTGTAGGAAACCAGATTTGTATAAAATGTAAATGTGTGTTAGTGTGTGTGTACATCACGCCACGTCTGTGACGTCATATCAGGTGATTTTTAATAAATTCCCATTGGCTGCCGCGACCACGCTATACCCGTGGATCTAACCACTACGTCAGTCCGTCCTAGTCCTGCAACCGTACACCTTTATCCCGGTCCGTGCAGCCCGTGGTATTATCTAATTATGTACATAGTTTTTATTTCTCACTAGTCCCGTCTCCTGTCAAGTTAAGACGTCGTCACACCGGCGACGTCACAGAAACGTACCTAAATATCATATTTAAATTGTCCGGAAGTCCTTAGTTACTCACACAGCCGCCATTTTGTTTTTTTCAGTTATTAATTTTTTTCTAAAGAATGGTTAAACATACGAAATGGATATTTTGCACGAACATTTATGACAACTAGACAAAGCTACAAAAAAATTATGAAGATTTTTCAAATTCATAAAACAAAATGGCGGCCATTTAAAATGTTCTTTCTTAAATAACTAAAAAACCATTGATTTTACAAAAAATTTAAATGGCCACCATTTTGTTTTATGAATTTGAAAAATCGTGATAATTTTTTGGTAGCTTTGTCTAGTTGTCATAAATGTTCGTGCAAAGTTTCCATTTCGTATGTTTAACCATTCTTTAGAAAAAAATTAATAACTGAAAAAAACAAAATGGCGGCTGTGTGAGTAACTAAGGACTTCCGGACAGTTTAAATATGATATTTAGTTATGTTTCTTACCCAGGAGCAATGCCCTAAAATATTGGTAGAGAGTTCCGGGACACCCTGTATAATGGTAATTTTACATCAGTAGCCTACTAATATTCTTGAAAAGGGGAGAAAAATACAATGTGTTTATTTGTGCGCAGATTTTATAAAAATTTGAGCAAAAAGAAAAGTTGGTTTTATGATTGAGTTGGAAAGTAAGAGAAAGGGATTTTGACAGTTGTTGGCCGTTTACAAATGTTTTGAGAACATCTTGACTAAGTAAAGGATTGTTTTAACTATAATACAATAAACAATGGTACATAAAAATTTGGAGAGCTGCACTATTTTAAGATCGACCACCAAAATAATTTGTTATACATTTATCTCAACATTATCTATTCACACAGATAGAACTAATGGTTTAAATCTGTACAACCAACAGCGCCTAATTAGCCATGGTTTTAACAAAACTACCAAATGGAGTCAGTACACTACCCTAATTAGCAGATTAAGATTTCTGTACTAAAACAACACCTCTGTTCCCATCTGCAAAATGATTGAAGACAACAAGATACACTTGATTAAGCCCATGCAATTACAGTATTTCCAAAATTACGAAAAGATAGTCAACATTTTTAAAGTAAAACTAGGCAATTAAAACTGGATGACACATCTAATAATTTAAACTTTTTTCATTGTACAAAATCAGTAACATATGGATTCCGTTGGACTTAATCGGAAAGAATCAGATTTCCACATAGGCCTAAGTGGCTTTAACGATTTTAATAAAAAATTATTATATTATATGGTTTGTTTTTTAACTTTTAAGCAAAATAGTACAACCCATAATACTGTAAAATTACGGTTCAAGGTAATTGCAATTTTTGTTATTTTACCATAAAATAGCATAGTAACTCTCACCAATTAACCTTTAAACCAGTTGTAGAACAGCTAACCAGAGAAAGTAGGCCTATGTGTCAGTTTGCTGATAAAAGTTTGCTGGTGTGCACTGATATATGTGGGCCAACCAAACCAAATTAAATTAATCCTCCATGTATAACACATGATTAACCTCAGTAAAAAGAACACAAATTAAAAACAACCAATTGATGAAAATGAATGGCCAAACAGAAAATATCTCAACCTGGTGAAATGTATTTAATAGCCTAGTATAGTACACCTAGTAGCATGGTTGCCTAAATAACTTTTTTTAGAAAACTAAAAAGAGAGATTTGTGACTAAGTTACTCACTGTATGAAGCCGTATCTGTCGAGAACCTTGTAAATATCAAACGTGGGTTCCTCCCAGGAGTCTATCTGCGCGTCCGGTGTCCGCCCCTTCTTGTAGCGTGCGACAATAGTTTCCCTCTCCTCTGCCGCTCTTTGGAGCAGCTCCTCTTGGTTCATTCCGCACTCAACATCCCGCCACCGGCATCACACTCTGCAACACCACGATTAATGTTTTTCTTTGTTGGGCATTATGTTTTTGACACAACTATTATTCTTGCATTAAATCTTATAAACACCTAACAGACAAACTATCAAATGCCTGCAACATATGACGAAAATACCCCCACTACAACAAACCTGCCGAGCCGACTAAGGAAATTTCCATTTGCCTGGATTGATTTTCAATAAATCTATTAAATTAACATTTATGTTTAAGGAGTACTAGGTTAACTGCTACAGGGAAACTAATAAAGTGTGTTTTTATTAAAATATAGCTTAGAATGAAATAAATAAATCCGCCAAGTTTGATCAAAATATATCCATAAACAAGCCAACTACATTTTACAATATTCTCCATAAAAATAACATGGAATTTTAAATTTAAAATTTTTTGAATTTTCTCTGTAACCAATCACGGTACAAAAACACTTTGATAATATACTAAATTATTTGTTATTTTAAGTTTTTTAAAAAGGTCTGGAGAAAAATTGATAAATAAGTTATTGTGTTTTAAGGGTAAAAAATGAGAAAAACCCATTTTTACCGCATAAAACCCCCCGTTAAAACTCCACCATGCGAACGAGATCATCTTGAAAATTAAGAAGTTAAACGGGGCAAAGCCCGCGAGTTACAGCTAGTACATCTATAAAAATGTGAACGAATGGTGTTTTTGGCCTTTGGGAACATCAAAATGAAAAAGTAAATCGGTCCCGGGCCTAGGTCTTACCATGACACTCTACAATAATAGCTACTTCCCTATAGGGGAATTTGCTAAAATGTCTTAATTCATCTCAACACAAATTGAATTGACAGTAGAACTCCAACTACGATAATTGAAAAAGGTTGCTTCATTTGATATTTTTATTTTACAATATATACAATTATGAAACATGTGGTTGATATACTATAAATAGCGCCAGAAAAATTATGTTCATTGTAGTTTTACAGTAAGCAGTTTTCAATAATCCGTTACAAATTTCAATGTGCGCCAATTGTGTCCATCATGTGGCACATCTATTGTATTGTTTTTTGTAACGTGTTAATTTTATCATGAGATTTTTAGAGTGCAAATAGCCGATTTAGCTCCAATAACAAGAATGTAAATTTGAAAATCCCTCCAACGTTCGAGTCGGCGGCTTCCATTAGCTCAGTGCCGGCCGCTCCGGCGCATGCCCGACTGTACCTGCGCACAAGCATATTTGCATACAATTGTGCCATTCTCTCCTGAACATTATGAACATTGTTAAAATATAAAAGTTAACTTTGGACGTGCAATGAATTGTTTTAAGCTAACAGGTAATCAGATAAGTTTATAGTACCGGGGGACCGAGCCTAGCTCGGTTTTGGTTCCAGTTCAAGCATATGTTGTTTACTATAAAGATTATTGTGATACATTTAATAATAATTCAACTGAATAAAGCTGTCCATATTATGTTGTCTATAGAAAAGAGTGCATAAAAATTGTAAAATCTACCCTTAAATGAGAGTGAAACATTGAGTTGACGCCAGTGCACTCAAACGTCACCAACACGAAACACTCATCAATACTTGTTCTATACATTATAACAATATAAAATGTTTATTTACACTATTGTACTTAATTCAATGTTAAAATTACTCGTTGTGACTTTGAATTTGAATATACATAAAATAAATGTAGTAATATTTTTAAATAATTATTTCACTGCTAAACCAATGTTTGCTAACAATAAATTGCCTCAGTACATTGGGGATTATGTTTTGATGGGAGAGGGCTAAGAGGTAAAATAATCAGTATTTGATCGGAACTATTTTCCCCTATTCGAGTAATCTTCAGTGTAACCATTGCTTTATAGAAATAACTGATGTTTTGTATTTGTACTATATTTTGTAATTTGCTAGTACTGTGGATGGCTTGTTATAAATACATGTTACAAATCTTTTGTTTACTTTTTCCTTGTTAATTTTTCAACCAACATAATTACTTGGTAACTTATATACTGTATTTAACTTTTTTAAATTTTTGAATGAGTTGTGTAGCGAAATACAAATTTTCCTGAGGTAGTGGCTGTCACGAATCATGGTTTTAGAGCTGTAAGTCCCTAGTTCCAAAATTTAGTCAAAATCCTTCTGCTGGATTTTGAGATATATATTACAGACAGACATAGCTCGTATTAGAGTAGCCTATAGGATTATATACCATATGATAGGCCTACAAATAAGGAGACAGGAGTACAAACTCATTCTTCTAATCTTCATGACTTCTTCTTTTGTACAAGTTTACATTGTAAACTTATGAAAACCTGTCCTTTTGTGTACTATCAATGTTGACATTTTCAATTTTCCTCTTAAGACCCTGGATATTTTAAGATTTTTCAAAAAATTGTGTGACCAATGAATTTATTTATTTGCTATAAATCAATAATCTATTCACTTTATTGGTAAACCATTAATTAAAAAATCTCTTTGATTTTGTTGCTGTGCAGATAGTTGATAGTAATAGAAACACTCATAGCAATAGTCACACTGTTAGTTCCGCACTTTTGTTTGGTCAGCTCACAGCAACATCAGCAAATTCTAAACTTCACAAGGTCATCAGTCCTTGACCACACAATCAAACAAATGTTTGTTTACAGTATAGAATCACTAGAATGAAAGACAGAACTTTACATCTTCCATCAACTGATTATCTACAGAAACAGGAATACAAACAACATAATGTTGGTTTTTAAATTTAATTCTTGATAGGCTATCTAGGGAAACTAGCAGATAAAACTCAGCATGAGGCATAGGTACATTAACAGAATTCAGGTACCTATCTGGAATTAACACGAAATTCTGTAACTTCTTTACTACAGGTATCAATGAATGTTGTATTGAATCTATTACTGACAGGAAACGGTTTATATCAGTTTTGATTCGGTTCCTTACTAAGGGACTTAGAACCCTCTGCTGTATCCATTGTAGTTTTTTTAAACTCATAAGCCTTTGGGTCCGTTACTGCACCTCATACACCCATGCTAAAAAGAACTATCATCATGTTGATGAGAAACTTAAGCATGATCCAAGATTAGTTGTAGCTCACTTGGGCACCTACACTATCAAAGCGAAGTTGGCTGACTCCAATGAAACTGTCATACTACGCAATAGTCTGAATCCTTTCAAACTGACTAAGAAGGAATTTCTTTAAAGTTACCTTTGCCATGACTTTAAAAAGGCACATGAACAGACACTAACGAAGGAAGGATTACACGTGCCAGACCCTGTTTTTACACAATCAGTTTTTGTGGCTTTGTCAAGGGTGCGCTTTTTAAGTGAAAACTACTTCTTTGTAAAAACAAGCCATCAAAACAAAAATCATTTGTGGCCATATTATTAAGTTGCTTCAAACATAGTGTTCAAATACGTTCTGTAACCCTATAAAAAAGTAAATAATTAATAACATTATATTTTGAAAAGAGTAATTATCTAAAATTTAGACCCACATATATTCATGAAGTAGGCCTAAGAATCCATACTTAAATCAACAATGCAATTACTACCCAGAATTAACTGTAGGCTATGTTGTGTACCTCAATGAGTGGGATTTGAGAAGAAGGGTCGGCTAGTAAAACTGTATTCACAAAACAGGCTGGACCTACCCCTAGTACCAGCCACACTAAAATTTCTTCCCCGCTCAGAAGGAGCGATAAAATTGAACAATTGATATGAGAGCTGTTCCTCGGTTTTAACTGATTAATTAAAATTTTAATTTAATTGAAGTTTCAGAGTTCTACAAAAGCTCAGGAAATCTCAGACACTCAGATGGAGCTATATCATTCTCACCTTCTTTAAAGGGTTTTGGAAATGTTGACTAACTTTTAGAACGACCACCTTTTAGCAAACCACAAAGCTTTTAACATGGTCGGTTAACATGTTCGGTACATTGTCTTTACTGTATCTACCGCTAATTGGGGATATTAAAACCAGGACACAAGAGTCACGTACACAGGATGAGCAGAGTGCTAGGCCTAACCAGTATGTCTGTTAGTCAGCTTCATAACATGTTTTTAAAGCAAGGCATTTATTTTCTTCTACAAGTTAAATTTATTGTATTTTAATGTTATAGTGTTGTAAATTTAGTATCTATTTGTCTGCGGCGTAAAAACATAAATGAACATAAAATATATGTTTCATTTCAATCCCCGGTATTTCATAAACTTATCCTAATACCCTTCCGGTCTAAACTACGTAGAGTTTGTGGAACTGTAATTGGACTGTACTATTTTGTATATGGTAGGCACAAGATTACACAAGGTTCTATGAACCACCCTATGACCAATATCTTGACTTAAGCTAGCATTGTTAGTTTTTATCGTTCGCTACCTATCACCACATCTATGCGACGCAGCGGTCATTATTGGTACGGACCAAGGTATGTATATATTAATATTACATTATTGTATATTAATATTATTAATATTACCCTTTCACTGGCTGTCAATTGGTTAACAGTACACGCAGACCATAGGCACGGCCGCCTTTTACTCCAGGCCGCGGCCTTTGAAGTGGCTGATTTGTATATTGTATATTGTGTATTGTATATTGCATATTGTATATTGTATATTGTATAGGCTATTGTATATTGTATTTGTGGCACGGCAAATTGTAGGTAGGCCTACTGTGAGATTTCTTAAATATTTAGATTTAAGTATTTATCGTGGGTATGAAAAATTCTTTATTATTTAATATAGCCACCACCATCCCCATAGCCGACCTTACGCCACCTGCCTCCTTTATAGCCTAGGTAGTTTCCCTTATAGGAAATAAGCTATTGCCGTAGGTTTCATGGTAGAACCTGGACCCGGACCGATTTACTTTTTTGTTTAAATGTCCCCAGAAACGAAATACACCATCCGTTAAAATTCATATATATATATATTTGTGCTCGTTAGCTAGAACGATAACTCGAGCAAAAATCTTCCAATTTCCATTATGTTTGGTAAAAAAATTTAATTTTAAGTTTATTCAAACGAGTGCCTAAATAATGAACCAGCATGATGTTTAGTTTATTTTATTTTTGACTCTGAAAACATAAAATTTCCCAAAAATTCTCTCGGAACCATTTTGAAGAGCTTAAGGAAAAAGTACGGTAGGCCTAATTTAGTTTATTGAAGTGTTTTTTTTTTTTTTTTTTTTTTTTTTTTTTTTATTTGTAGGCTACAATTATTGGTTACAGAAAAAACTTTAAACAATTTTATAGCCTAAATTTAAAATTCCTATGTTAATTAGATAGAAAATAAACTGTGTCATAGTTTGCTTACAGTATTTGTGGATTTATTTGAGCAAACTTGGCAAAAATTTAATTTGTTTATACTAAACTATTAATATTTTACTATTTAAACAAACTTTATTAGGCACCTTCCCTGTAGCAGCAAATCTAGGTAGGAAGGCCTACTTGTTAAACCTAATGCTACCTATTTAAACGGATTTAAGTGCAAATCAAATCCAGCAAATGGAAATTGGTTTATAGTTTGCAGGTTTGCTTATACTTAGGCCTACAGCTAAAAATAAAACTCAAAAATTTGTGATAAAAATTACATAGACACCAACATATTTTTCAGAACTTGGTAGGTAGGCCTAATCTCTGCAGTCAATATCACGTTTTAACAATAGCTTATTCTTATAATAATTAACACGATCTACAAATTTTTGATAAATTTCCCTGACTTAACTTTATTTTTAAAAATGTTCCCTGACTTGCGGCCTTTTTTAAAAACTTTCCCTGACCTTCCCTGACCCATCATTTCAGAATATCGGCACATATGTTTTACCTCCAATAACTCTTTTTACCTACTAGGCCTATTCTTATTGGAAATGTAAGTTAACTTCTGAATTCTGAAAATTATAATAATAGGCTAAACTTATAGCTAGCCTATTTGAAATAAAAACAATGTTAAGTGCACTTATATGGACATCTTTTCTAAGCAAAGAAAACTTTTGAAAATATCGTAATTTGTCTGTTATTCCCTACCTGTGAGGGTATGGAAACCAAAATTGGTGCCATTTTGTCACCAATAAGTTAGGCCTACTTAAGTTTAGTCTATAGTCTATAGGCCCTACATCAAATGTTTTACACTAACTTGATCAAACCTGAAAAATATCTTGACAGCATGAGTTGTGTGAGCATCTCATAAAGCAATTTACCATCCGGGTATATGTCGACCTCCAGTCAACACTCTAAAAATATATTTTATTAAATCTTAGTTTTTTAGCACTGATTTAAAAAATGATAGTAGGCTAGCCTAATTTTTTGCAGAAAAGCACCGTTTTCCCAGAAAAACGGGAAAAAAACCTTTTTGCAAAAAAGTTATGTTGTTGAAAAGTTTCTTGAATTTTGCGGAATTTCAGCGCCACTGAGGACTTTAGTGGCGTTTTAGTGGTCGATAATCGACCAGCGCCAGATCTAGGGTTAAATAACATTTTTGGGCGGTCAGGTTTTTTGGAAAATTCCTTTATGTCTAAAATTTACCCGGCCAAATAGCTGCCCTAGGCCTATCAAAATATCTTAGGCCTACCTACTTGTGGGTTTAACTTTGTAGGCCTACAACATGACCTATGAGGGAGGCCTATTAATTAGTCTTAGGCCTAGGCCTATTATTATTGTAAGGGTAGGTTGTCAGGCAATTTTGCTCATAGACCTCTGTCCTCTGTGAAAATAAAATAGGTAGACCTACAGTAGTAATTCAATCATAATAGCCTCTAGCTGAGCCTAGTATTCTTCAGAATTGTAGATAATGTAGACATGAAACATATTTCAGAAGATGCCTAGTTCTAAGGGAAGGGATAAGAAATATAGGTAGGTAATAACTTAGGCTTAAGTAGGCCTAACTTAAGTTAGGAGACCAATTTGTCCTTCAACAATCAGTGAATTGTTGAGATATTGAAAAAAAGCTTTACTGACAATGAACTTATCATCAACGTACGATAATAATTTTAGTTTAAACTAACTAACCTTAGACATGATCCTCCAAATACTCCTGGCACTGTCAACAGTTTATTTTCACAAACAAAATGTAACAGCCACTGTTTACCTTAACACAAATAACAAAGTTTCTGAATTAACAATCACAAAAGTTGCAGTTTTAATCTTCAACGCATTTAAGAAATTATATTATATTATAAATATTTCATTGTTTTATTAATTACCACTTATTCAATACGCCTACCTACAAAATTGGAAATGTATGCCATGAAACGAAAACCGAATTAATTGAGAATGGAAAATAGTTTTTGTGTCAAGTCAAACCAATACCAAACGTCCAAACCATGAGTAGAGTCAGCTGTCGTAACTGTTCATACTACACAGTCTAAGGTGAAAGGAAAAAATAGTACGCAAATTTGACTACAAGCATATGTATTAAGTTGGCAATGAGTATTAAGAAATCAACCAAAACATTTATTTGTGATCCATTTTTTATAAATCCAAGACCACACTTTTGCCAATGAATACAGCTTTTGCTTAGTGACCAGCCAAAATCAAAGCGACCAGTTACATGATATAAGATGATATATAACCTTCCTGAGTCGTCTACCACTGATGTTGAAACGAGAAAGACTCATAATCTTTGCTTATACTTATATGTCATGTCGTCCTGTAATCCAGCTTCAGCTACTAGGAGGTCACGAAATGTGGATATTTATAGGCATGCACTTTGTATGCGATACTCCCTGGTGTGGATTAACGTCTGCACGAGTGAGTACTACGACTATCCGCAGTACTAGTACTATCTCGATAATTAGACAAATTCGTATATACCAAGGCAAAAATGTGGTTCGGATTCCACTATAAACTGTAGGTCCCTTTTAGTTGCCATTAGCTGTATGCCATTCATCAAAATCGGATCATTTTTGCTCGAGTTATCGCGCAAACGGATATATATATATATATATATGAGTTTTAACGGATGGTGTTTTTGGCCTCTAGGGACCTCAAAATTAAATCGGTCCCAGGTCCAGGCCTTACCATGAGTACTAAATAGCTTATTCCCTATATGGGAAATTCGCTAAAACGATTAGTTTCCAATTATGGCAACCAAGTTAGTTAGCATGCTATTGCTAAAATGTCAACACAACGGTCTCAGGGGCAAGCTTAACTTTTCACAAGAACTGTGGCACTATGTCCCAACGACATTATATATATCACTGTAACCAATTTAACATCTGATATAAATGACAGTGACCTCGGACTCGCGGATTATACTACCTTCAAATATGACAGGACCGTGCCACAAGTAACAAAGGCCAGCCCGCTTTCATCTACTCCACACTGTGTGACGTCTTTTGACGAGATTTGGGCCTATGATTTTAATCAGGAATCCAACTTCAACTTTTATAATGGGTGATTTCAACTTGCCAGATACCAACTGGACCGACCCAAAGTACTGTACTGTATTTGATATTAACCCCTTCTTCGTGCTACACATCAGGGACACCTTTTCATCCCATGGACTCACACAAGTCAACACAGTTATAAATCGCAGAGGGGTTTGCTTGCCTTGATTTAATTTTCTCGTCTGATGAAGGTCTCAAGATGAGGACTGCAGAGGAGATATTGCAGCAAGACACACCACACCCTGCTTTGACTTTCTCTTTCAGGGTCACTGACCCCCCAATTTCTCAAGGCCCCAGTCCCAGATACTTCCATGATTTCCGTCACTGCGAACTGCGACAAGAGTGCTGTTTTTGATAGTCTGCTCCAACTCAACTATCCTGATTTAGCCGATCACCAGAGCATTGAAGAATGAAGACGAGTTAAAAAATTTCTGCAATTACCTGAAATCTCTGTAATCAAACAGTACACGCCCATGAGAAAAGTTTACAGTTGCTTCCTCAATGGTTTTCAAAACATCTTAGACGTTTAGTAATTCAAAAGAAGATTCTGTATCAAAAATACAAGTCATTACTGTCCCAACACTACGTCAACTTTCAACTTTTATGAAGAATCTGTATTCAACTTATCAGCCAATGCCTCTCTGAATATTATCTAAACAGCTAATTGCAACGGCCTATTTTATTTTCTGAAATATACAGATATTATAATAATTTTCCTGTGTAGTATGATGTAAAGTATTGTACATTACTCGCATCATAAGCTGCCGCACGATAAAACACCACTTACCAGGCTAGGGTTACCAAGGCCAACAAATTTTGTCAGTTTTGTACGTGTTATCATATTATAATCAATGGCTGCATCTAAAACAATTTCATTTTACTTAATGCTATATCGTCTGTACAAAAAGTTTGTCTACGTTTTGATTTGATGGTTACTTCTACTTGGTTAGGGTTAGGTTTGGTTTTTGGTTTAGGTTATTTTAACTTAACTTTTTACGAGTCGATTCGTCGATTCGATTTCGATTAGTGGTTACTGATTGATTAGTGATTAACGATTAAGTGAAGTTGGAGGGACTTGGATGGGAGGGAGATAAAAGTTATAATAATTTTTACTATACCAAAAAGCTGAAAATATCGCCCGGTTTGGTTGGTTTTTCATTCGTCTGTTCTTGTCATCATATAAAGCTTAATAAATAGTCTTGGTTATGTTTCGTTTCGGGTTTCGGTAAATGTGTCAGACAATCAGTGCTGTAGATCACTGAAAACTTCTCTGTTATTTTATCAGTGTTTCTAAGAAAAAACAACATAAGGTAAGTTAGGCCTGGGTAGTATTGATGTTTTCAGAACAGTTTCACTTAGGCTATAGGCCTAGCATTGACTGTAGCCTATCTCAACTAAAAGCTAATCCCCTTTTATCGTCTCAGGATAAGTTAATGTAAATTAGCCTAGGCCTAGATGTATTTGGATATTTATTAAACATAGCTAATTTAAACCTGTCCCTAATAATAGGCTAGTAATTAGCTTTAGCTAATCGGGGGTAGGCTATAAGATATAGGATGTGTTGAAAATCATATCACTAGGCTACTTAACTTAGGAGGGGTTTATTTATTTAGCCTATTCGCTGAGGATATGCATCCGGTAACCGGATGTGGGTCAGGTGTCCGGCAGTTAACTTACTGTCATAGGCCTAACCTAACCTAACCAACCAAACTTGCTGATAATGAAAAAATCGAATGAAGGTTAAATTCCGTTCATAAAATAAAATTATAAAGAAGAAATGGCATTCAAAGCAAAATCTTTGATAAAAAGTTAAAGTTACTGATGGGATTCGAACTAGGGACCTCTTGCTTATAAGCCGAGCACTCTATCCACTACACCACGAACACCGATGGCTGTGCATTGTATCGTTGTGGTAATGGCGTTCCGAGGCCCCTGCAACCTGGTACCGTCACTGCTGGACGCCTAATTCACGTCAGGTCACTGAACGTGTATCCTCTGTGTTAGTCTACTTAATGTATTTATTTATTTCTAGGTCAAACGGCCATTATTATAATATTTACATAAAAGCAAGATGGTTTAATCAAGTACCGGTAGCCTATGAATAACAAGGATAGGATAGGACGTAAGTTACTTAGGTCCAATATTATAATTTTTACAAAAAGACTTAAAATAGATATGGGGTACCGGTAAGCTTACAGTTTCTTAACTATGCTAATATCGATTGAAACGGCTGCACTTTAGTTTACGTCCTACATTTACTCACATAGTTTGGTTAATGGTAGGTTTAGTTTAGAACAGTTTCATTTTATAATCAGCTGGTAGCCTAGTTAATGTAGGCCTATAATGTAGCCTATATATAATACAAATGTAGGACGTAAACTAAAGTGCTCTGACCATTGAAGCTATCGAATTGAAAATATTGATTAATAGGCTTACTCGATATTTCAAAATATTAAACTTATTATAAAATGAAACTTTCATTAACCAGTAATTAACTAATTGTGACTAAGTTAGGGTGACCAAGAGTACCATAGTAATTTATATCATTAGAAACTATAGGTCGGCCAGTTAGAAAGCGTCCTCCTCGTAGCATTGGTGCGAGAGAGAGATACCGAGCCGGTGGGAGTGAGACAGACTATGGCTCTTCCCCCACTCGGCTGCCGCCCTACCGCATATTAACAGCAATTATTAAGTTATAGGCCTACAGCTGATTAAAATGTAAACAATTACGTTCTTCATAACTTGAGAAAAATAGGTCCTGCAAAAAATATTGTAGGCTATAGCCTAACCTAAATCGCATCAATATTTGAGCGTCATGAAATGTTATTATGTCATTATGTAAGAAGTTCCATTTGGTAACACAGGATTCCAACTCCCACGACACCGGGGCGGCGCCGTGTCGGTGTCATTCCGGTGTCGTGTCGTGCAGTGTGAAAACGGCCATTGGCGGAGAGGGGGAACATACCCTCCCTCGCCGTTACCTCCCCTACATGCGCTAAGAATTTCGCGCAGGTCGTTTTCTAAGTGGCCGACCTATAGATTTTTACCAGAAAACAATGGTGCAAAAGTTTTTCTGCTGTCATAAAAACTGAATAAACTACGATCGTTTTAATTTAATTTAAATGTTGTATTAGGAACGTTGAATCTGCAATTCAATGTTTAGACTGTAAAATCAAAGTTAGTAGTCCAAGTCACATATATTGATTGATTATAAACTTAAGTTAGCCTATGCCATTTTAAAGTAAACCCTCACAACCCACACTTAGACAGGTATTTAAATAACTTATGTTAATTTAAGTAAACTAAAATTAAAAACACATAGTGTTTTTAGCAAAACAGTCTGGAGATAACATAAATCAACAACTCGATTCATTATAACCTAAACTTTACCTTCCTAATCTAACCTAACTTCAAAACACTTAGTAATATAGTGACTAATCTGTTTTAACACCCAACCTACCTACCTCACATTTCTAAATAAGAACTGAAGTACCGGTAGTTCATAATCAACATTCAGTTGAATTTACAAATTCCTCTACATCTTTAAGTCCTCTTTGTATAAACTTAATCAAGAATTTATTGCAACAAATTACAAAAAGAACATTTTGTATAGTTGAGGTCAAATGTTAATGTTTGTCAGCTTGGTTTTTTTTCTTCCCTAGACGATCCTTTCAATCGTTTATGTTTGTGTTAGTCAATTCACGGCGACAGAGACCAGCAGACAAAAGGCATAACAGTAATAAAATTCAAACGATCGTAGTTTATTCAGTTTTTGTGACAGCAGACAAATCTTTGCACCATTGTTTACAGGTAAAAATCTAGTTTCTAATGATATATAAATTACTATGTTACTCTTGGTCACCCTAGTCGCAATAATTTTCACCTAAC